GCGGCGGGCGCGGCGGGGCCTGGCGGGGCGCGGCTCCGCGCTGCGGGCCTCAGCGGGGCTCCGGGGGCTCCGGGGGTCGCCGGGCGGCTCGCGGCTGGTGCCGACCGCAGCTCTCCCCGCACTGCCGCCGCCCGTCCCCGCCCAGGGGTTGGGACACTGGGGTTCACACCCTCGGGGACTTTGCCCTGGCATGGTGCCTCGCGGGGTCAGGGAAGGGCTGAGCCTGGGCGATGCTGGGGCTGGAGAGGAGCTGGGGACCACTGAGACGGGCCGGGGAGCACAGGGCCGCGCCTGCGCACGAGTGCGCGCTTAGACACCCCACCACCACCCCTGCGGGGAGCGAGGGACTTGGGCCGGAGCCCCCAGCTGCAGGCCCAGAGGTCCCTCCGTGCTCTGTAACGTGTGGCTGGCAGAGAAGTAACGTGTGGCTGGCAGAGAAGTGATGTCCTATTGCATCCTCAGTTAGTTAGCTTGAATGTTCTTTTTTGGCCTCTTCTTGCAAGGGGTCATAGTTCACACACAGTATCAAATGTGATCCAACAGTAAACAAACATTTCCTTCGGCAAAGTCTGAGGCTTCTCACACTTCTGAACACAGAACCCTTCTTTGCAGATAAAGGGGGAAATTCTTTGTTGTTGTTGTTGTTGTTGTTTGCTTGTTTGTTGTAGTTGATATATCCAGAAAAGGCAGGATGGAGGAAATACTGCAATAAGCCACTCGAGGACTGATTTAAAAAAAAAAAAAAAAAGTGCAAGGTGTTTGGAGCCTGAAAGATTTGTTCCAGTTCTAGGATTCTTTGAGACATTCCCTGCGCCCTTGGGCCGATTAGATTATCTCTGCACCCTCATCTCACCACCTCTGTTCTGTAAAACAAGTAGGGTTTTCTTCGCACAGGGCCATCACACAACCAAAGAATACCGGCTTACGGAAGGAAATTACATTCCTGCTTTTAGAAAGAAAGTTTTTAATTATTTCCCCAAATTTTCCATCTGAAGTTTCTTTTTTTTTTTTTTTTTAATTTTTATACTGTGGTAAAAATAACAGTTTATTGTTTGAATCCTTGGTTGTGGAACCACCATCTCAGATGGACACTCTTGGGAGCTAAGCCATCATTCCCCAGTCTCTACCCCTACACCAAAAAGTAACCTGTACTGTGCACTCAGCCTCTGTGAATCTGATTGTTCTATGTACCTCATTTATGAGAACCATGCGGTATCTGCCGCTTTGTGACCGGCTTATGCCAGTTACATAATATGTCCAAGGAGTATGAGGTGTGACAGAACCGAAAGAGCTGGCAGCCAGCATGGCGTTCTTAACTGTTGACAACCTCTTCTGCCCATGCTTCCCAGCGCCCTGCTTCTCCCCTTCCCTGAGTTGTTGCTAAATCAACAATGTGATTCACCCTCTCTTCCCTTCACTTTTAACACGCCTCCCTTGCCCCTTGAGGTATTACTTTACCTTCTCTATTTCCTGTCATTTGGGTAGCCTGTCTCCAGAGGTCCCCTTTCATGCCTTACAAAAGGGGACCTCTTCCTCTCTACCCTTCCCATCTCATACACAGCTTTTAGAGAATGTCTTACTCTGTGCATGCTACTTTATAACATATTACTTGTGACTGGGCCATTTATAGAAAACAAATGTTCCTGACGGTTTGGGAGGATAAGAAATCCCAAATACAAGCATCCCTTAAGAGTGGAGCTCTCTGGTTCTAAGATAGTACCTTGAATACTGCTCCCCTGGGAGTGAAAAGTATTTGTCCGAGACAGACAAAGTGAATACTAAGTGAAGGCTGCTGTCTACAGCATGATCATGTTTCTAAGGACAGAACCTTAATGACTTAATTGTCTCTTAAAGGCATGACTTCATGGTTTAGTCACATGGGCAGATGATTCCAAGTATTGCAGTAACCCAAAATGAGGATAAATGAAGTATGGTGCTAGGAAGCAATGTTTTTCTCTGCCTAATCAAATTTATAAAAATTAATAAATATTATAAGGCCTATCAAAGGCCAAGGTTTAACGTGTGTTTTCATACAACCGACAGTGACTACAATGGACCTTCTGTAAAAGGCCATCAAATGCAATGACTCAAAACATTCTCACTTGGTGAACAGAGAGGTAAAATGTGGCCATATTCAGGTAGCTTTTTCTCTTAAAGCATGTGTAACTAGAATTAGTGTAGTTTGGGGGATTTTAAGTACTCAGACCTGTTTCTTGACCTCAATAATAGTAATTACAGAACTGTCTGTGGGAGATGTTTACATTATTTGATACAATAATCTCCATGCTGAAATAAGTATAGGAGTCATATAGGATTGTAAAGGCTACATTGAACACTCACTGAGATATGAATCTGCTCTATTTTGAAAGATCAACTTTTGGATTGATAAATTTCAGATCTTTCCGAGTAGAAGTACTACCGGAAAAATCTCTGTGATTTATTATTAGTTAAGATTTATTGTTATTCATATGTGTGCATGTGTTTATGTGTATGAGCACATGTATGAAGGCACCCACAGAGCTGGAGTCACAAGTAGTTGTGAGCCTCCTGATTTGTGTCCTGGAAACTAAAATCTAGTCCTCTGCAAAAGCAACAAGTGCTCTTAACAGATGGGCTATCTCCCCATCTCTGTAGTTAAATCACTTTTTAAAACAAAAACATTGCTGTCAGCCAGGCTGTTTTTCCATCAAAGAAAACTGATTCCATATATTTTTAAGTATAACTCACTTATTTCCCCCACAACTCTTCCTTTCCCTGGCCCTTCCTATCTTTAGGACTCTTTTGTGTGTGTGTGTGTGTGTGTGTGTGTGTGTGGTGTGTATGTGTGTGTGCGCGCGCGCATATGTGTGTGTATGAGCCTTTTTGATTGCATGTATGTCTGTTTACCATGTACATGCCTGGAGACTTGGGAGGCCACAGAAGGGCAATGAATCCCCTGGGGCTGGAGTTAAGCATGGTTGTGAGCCACCACATGGGTTCCAGAAATCAAACTCAGGTCCTTTAAAAGAGCAGTAAGTGCCTCTAAGCCTGAGCCACCTCTCCAGTCCTGGTTTAGGCTTCTTTCCTGCTCATTTCTATTTACCAGTTTCTTGTTTTGCTGTGAGCCTACAGCAGTGACCTGCTGGAACAGCCTACTTTAAGAAACAAACGTCTGTATATGTATAGCCCTACCTTTTTTCTGAGCAGAGAAAGTTCACAGTAAAGGTTTTCTTCAGCATAGCATAGGCAGTAAATAGGATTTACAGTAAATATTGTTCCCTAGGCTTTAAGGATACCCACGTTTAATTCTCCCCTTTGTCACTGAAATACTACACCCTTCTGTTCCTGTCACACCTGCATCTAATCTGGACACCTGACTCCGAGAGGAAAATGAGCTCTCTCTGCTCTTTAAATATCTGAAAGGCTTCCAGGCAGAAGAGAGATGTTAAAAACAAAAAACAAAAAACAAAAAAAAAAAAAAGCAAAACAAAACATTCCCAAGGCTTAGAAACTAGAGGGGTGATTACTGCGTGTCTTTTTCATGGAGTAAATTCATTATCAGATGAGGTTTCTGTTCAAGTCCCTAAATTTTCCATTTTCAGTTTCCCCTCAGTTTAGATTTTCTTAATTGATTCTACTTTCACTTTCATGCCTTTTCTTTATTTCATTCCACTGTTTGTTTGTTTGTTTGTTTTCATGGATTTCTTTAATGCATTTATGTATTTCCTCTTTAAGGACCACTATCATATTCATGAAGGTTATTTTAATATCTTTATCTTGTACTTCATTATATTGCATTTCTCAGGGCCCACTGCAGTAGGGTTGCTGGGCTTTAGTGGAAACATTGTCTTGACTATTGATTGTGGAGTTTTTGTTGTTTGTTTGTTTTTCAAGACAGGGTTTCTCTGTGTAGCCTTGGCTGTCCTGGATTGACTATTTTTATGCTGGCATCTAGGTATCTGGGTTTGGCATGATTGTAATTCCAGGTGCTGATATCTTTTCTTTGTTATTATTTTCTTTGTTGGGTGATGTAATGTAATATTCCTTCGTTTCTGTTGCTCTCTCAGGATTTTAGGAGAAAGTGTGTGTGTGTGTGTGTGTGTGTGTGTGTGTGTGTGTGTGTGTGTG